AGAATACTTGACTGATGGCCATTTCGGGCCGTCCCTAGTTGCCAGAAAACTCAATACGGCCGATTTTTTCTCTTGGAATCTTCAACATAGACTATCCCTAGTTACAAGCTTCGACCGATTTTCAGATTTTTGCAACGATTCGTTTTTCGGGTATGTTCAAACTCACGAGCTTTTCTTACTTCCTCAAGGTTTCGCGGAAGGTTCTTCTTTTGATTGTGGTTTCAGAGTAATAACACGGTGAAATAATATGTATAAAATTATTTCATTTAACAAATATCAAAGAATCCATCAATCACGAAAGTATCGACAATACGGCCGATTTTTTCTCTTGGAATCTTCAACATAGACTATCCCTAGTTACAAGCTTCGACCGATTTTCAGATTTTTGCAACGATTCGTTTTTCGGGTATGTTCAAACTCACGAGCTTTTCTTACTTCCTCAAGGTTTCGCGGAAGGTTCTTCTTTTGATTGTGGTTTCAGAGTAATAACACGGTGAAATAATATGTATAAAATTATTTCATTTAACAAATATCAAAGAATCCATCAATCACGAAAGTATCGACGAGCAATCGAATCCAGTCATTCATGAGTAGAGTATAGCTGGATCAAGCCAATTTTCTCGACGAACTACGAAGCTGTTAAAATAGCTTTTCAAGCCTCGAACGACATTCGCTTGTTCTACGATAAACACCAAGAGGTGATGAAGTCGAAGAGAAAAGAGCAAAGAAAGAAGAAATTAGAAAGAATGTCCCGTGAAGAGGAAATCCTCCGAGTTTTTAATTTTACAAGTTTCCGCAATATACGCCCAATTACTTTTATAGAAGCTGTTCTTGACGAGAAGGAAAAGTGCCCGTTTTCAGTAGCACGATTATGAACATCAAAAACCGCTTCATCTCTGAATGAGTTTTGAATCCATGTACTTCTCACTACGCGTGATGAGGAAATTGAGAAGGTCATTGTTTCTCGTATTCGTTTCCCTCTTCTATTATAATGCTGTAATTCGTGCCATAAGAGCGACGATAATCGCTAATTTTAAAGCGTATTGATTGATCTTGTACGAAGGGCCGAAGTTCGTCCGTGGGCTTGGTCGATAAACAGGATCGCGAACTTTGACCCCAAGAATCTGTTCAGATTCTTTTCGACCCTTCACCAGCTTAACATTAAAGAGGAAAACTAAGCACAAAATTAGATCCATCAGGACAAGTTGTTCACCACATCGCCCTGCCCTTCATGAGTAGCCAGTTGCTTTAGAAAAAGAGGAAAGCAATGAAAAGAAGTTTTCATTACTAACCATGAAAAGGCGAAAGGGCCTGTACGGCCGGGTGGTGCGGAATCAATATGGGCGGCCCGATCCGAAGATTGGAACATTGACCACCCTTAACGACCTGATCTACATTCATTATACAATATGAATACAATAAAAAATCCAGGCAGAGAGCTGCGAGAGTCTGTTTAAAGCCACGTTGCCATTCGTAGGTGCGACCCTCAAAAGTTTCCTCGGAAGTTGGAAGTGTTAGCTTTTTTTGTTTGTTGAAAGTTGCCTTCCAACAATGCTCATAGGCTCGCGCTCTGCTTTGTAATAATAATCAGTACAGCTTAATTTTACATAATTTAGAAATTCCTTTAACTTGTCATTCCACTCCTACTGTTCTCTCGTCATCACTATGATCTGGTCGGTTCGGGTCGGCTGGCAGTTGTTGATGATCATCAGCAACATCGAATCCGTCCATCCTGTTCCTTCGGAATTGAGCTCGAATATGCTGTTGGTTGTGACCCAGTCCGGCTCTTTGGTGACCATTGCCACTAAATCCATCCAATCTGGTGTTTGAATCGAGATCCTTTCTGTGGCTGGCTCGGTTCAACTCCATTTACGACTTCAGCACCAGTTTTTTAATTTCTACTCATCTTTTGCTTTCCTCGTTCGCATTTTGGAAATGAAGAAAGTGAATGGAATATCCTAAATTGTAAATAAAATACTTTCGGCGAAACCGAAATACGAAGAAGAACATCGTAAAGTCAGGAATGAGTAATAAGGAACAAGACACATGAAAGGAGTTATCGAAAGAACGAGCTACACTAAAACGGAACCGATGCTATAAAAAACTCCGAACTGTAAACTACAAGATTTCAAAAAAAAAATAGAAGAAATATCGAAGGATGGGGGAGTAAGGGGCTGCACGGCTAGGTGGCATGGAATCAATACGGGCGGTCCTGTTCATGAATTGAGACATTGACCCACCGTTGACTACCTATCTGCAAGTACGATGAAAATATCATCTAATACAATTTATACCCATGAAGTTGTGATTTTGTCCTGATGCCGGGTTTCATTCCCGATAATGCGATGCCTCGGGAGGTCCCTCGAAAGATGGACAGGTTCTTCAAGCTCTGACCGCTAAGACTCCTTTTGATTTGCGAAAATCTTCAGTACAATCATTCGCCATCACTCACAAACCTTTAAATCAGAAACTAGAAACCAGAAACCTAAGAGAGAGGCTTCGAATAACCCAGTGGAATTACTCGCTCAAGTAGAACGAAGTTAGTTCGATTACTTTATCAATTTCATGAACTCTGGTAATCAATTCGAACAAAATAGGAGTAGTAGCTGGGCAATGTCCTGAGATGTTCGATTGACTTTTGCAATAAACGCTCACATTAGTAAATGAGGTCTCTCCATTTTCATTCGTTGATCATTTAATTTTCAGTTCCCAAAAACGACCATCCTTCTTGGAAATTCTCGCTTTCCCGTTGTGTTCGAGGAAAGATTACGTTCAACAGCCCAATGTTGTGCAATGGCTTTTGGCCTTGCGGTCGCGGTGTCTGATAGTACGAGTGCATAAATACTACCACACCTGAACAAATACTGAAGCACTCAACTCCAGCATTTTCTATGACCATTCATTATTTATGCTTTATCATCAATAAATCAATGTTCACACCAAAAAGAACAGTCAATAATTGTATACTCGACAGCGCTCAGAAGTAATTAAGTCTGAAAGAAGGAAGAAAAACGGAGCTCTAATCTCGGGGTTACTTCACACTATTTTTTTCCACGTTTCTCTTCATATTCCATTCCTTTTTGTTCCTCTTACAGCTCTTCCAATTTACAATGTTACTTGAAAATAAATCGGCCGAAGATTAGTTATCTAGAAGTCAGACTTATTTCTCATATAGTAATTATTTGTACCAGTTTTGGTGAAAAAAACGCATCTATGGCAATGATCAGGGTTGGAGGGGGGAGGGGGGATCGTTCTTTTCTTCTTTCAGTCTACTTCTTCAAATGAACAAGATGAGAAACAAAATGTCTATTAGAAGTGTATGTTACAAGGAGCCCATTAACGGCTGCTTTCATAGTCCGCCGGAAGGCCGGCCGGCGTGCCAGGCGAGGCAGTGCTAGGGGGAAGAAGGGAGGCAGACAGTCGGTCAGCCCCTTCGAAGGACTGTAAACAACGAGAGAAAAGATCAAAAACCATTTGTTCAAGCTCTTGATTGTTTGGTCTTTGATCTTGTCTCTTGTTGTTTACAGGGGGGCGGCGGGTCCGGGAACTTCTCCCCTAACACGGCATCGCACCCTCCGCACCCGCGGCCTATC